CTGTGACCCATGGCCGCTGAGCCTGTGCTCCACAACGGGAGAGGCCACAACAGTGAGAGGCCCGCAGAGCGAAAAACAAAAAAACAAAAAAACAAAAAACTACCAGGCAAAGCCTTCCCTTGATACACAAGGCAATTTCCTGCTTTTTAGCAATAAACTGAGCCAGGGTTCAAACGCAAGAAAATGCTCACATTGAGACACTACTGCAAGTGATACATTGTAATTAACACTCAAAATTTAAGAAAAAAACTCTTAACTTTTCTGTTCCTGAGCTGTGTTTTTTAGCTAGGAACATACAATGGATAAAAATATATATATATCCTTTGAGTAAGAAAGGATAGTCAAATGCATTAATATCCTCCCCTCTGCTTTAATGGCTTCAGAATGAAACAAATACCCATGGAGATGTGTCCAAGATCACACACAGACCTGGCTGTTTTCCAGCTCAAGTGCCTTGTATACTGGCCTTGCCGTGAGCTTCACTCTGCCCCTCTAGGGTAGGGGTGGTGTCTTTCCCAGCCCTGCAGGGTGAGCAGGTTATTGAACCAAACCCTTCAGCAGCATTCAGATTGTATTTAACCCTTTGTCATACTATCTGAGATCATCAGATGCTTAAAGTTGTACCTGATTCCTAAAGATCTCCTTTCCATGGACCAGCTGGATGTCAATCCCAGCTGCGTTTAACTGGACATTCAATACCTACTCTGGCAAATACCATATCACTATAGAGTAGGGCCACATCTGGGCTTTTTATTTATTTTTATTTCATTCATCTTCTCTGCCCAAAGTTAGTCAAGAAAAAAATTGTCCTCATATTTCTGAGGGCAAAGCTCCTAGATCCAACATTTTTTAAAAACCCACCAGCCATAAGTTATAAATTGAGTAGAAAAAAATGGGAAAAATAGTTGCATGCCTTTAATATAAAATTCAGTGAGAATGAGGAACATAATGAACCCAAAAGCAATGTTATAATCATTATCATAGGAAGGCCTTCATCATTTGATAGCAGACATCTGATGAACACATGACATGATTAAATTCAAAGGAATAAATTTTACTTCAGCTAACTTTTTTGCAAGAATAAGCATTTAACTTCCCAATCATCACCATGAGAATGCAATGAACACAGATAAGAATTTGTCTCCCTATTCTTTTTTCCTCCACTCTACCTAAGAACATGGATTACAAAGTTTGGCATGCATAACTGAATTGCCAGGTGCATTAAAGTACTGAAATCTTGAAAGATTATATTGAAGTAAGCTTATTAGAAGTTGAAGGATTCAGTGTGAGAATTACTTTTAATATTAATTAGACCAGTTTTCTTAATTTTCTGGAGTAAGAACACAGCTATGTTAGAGGCCTGTAATTAATAAATTTTATCTACTACTATAAGAAGAACGTACACTTACACTGCATTGGTAAAATAGCAAAAATGTCTTTCCAAGGATCAAGTTGATAAAATCAGATCAGAATATGTATTCTAACAGATGTATTTCCCATAGATTTTTGAAACTCAAATCCAATATTTTTGTTTAATTCATTAGCTTAATTTATTAAAATGGTTCTCAAATTTAAGGAAGGTGATTACTTTAAAGACTTCTGAACTTTTGAATCTGCTTTAGGATTTAAACAAAAGTTGAGTGTGCCAGTGTTAGCATAAACTTCTGTTTCTAGTGTCTGGCCACAAAGGATTTATAATTGTATAGTTAACGTAAAGATTAACACATTCTCGAAATTAACCTCCATCATCTCTTTAATGTTGAAAACAGCTGTGCTTACTATGTTCCAGGCATTATGCTAAGTGGTTTGTGTATATTATTTCACTAACCCTCAGATATATACAGTTACAGAAACATACCCTGTGATGAAGTTATTAAAAGTAAAAACAAAAGTTTAGAAGAAAGAGACTGAATGTTAAAAAAAAGCAGACTTGTGTAAGGTCTCTCAGAAAGTAGCAAAGTCAGAATTTGAATCAGGTCAGTCTGAATCCAAAGTCTGTCCTCCTATGTTCTATACTGTTTGAGCCTTATTCAGTTTTGTCAGTTATCATAGTCCTAGTAATTTGCATAGAAAGTCAAATTTTCTTCCAGGTTTTATGAGTCTGGGATAGTGTGTAGCATGCAATTTCCCAATTCACAGAACCAGTAGTATTGAAGAAGGAGGAGGAAGAAAGAATAACTAGAAAAAAAATTGATTTTCCAAATTTTTATCAAGATGGGTGTATTTGTCAGGATTCTTTTGCTTGCAAGTGATGAAAACCCAGCTGAAACTCATTTAAGCAAAGATGATTTATTTATGTAAGCAACTTAGCTAGTTCAGGCAAAGTGGAATTCGGGTACTCAAATTATGTTGTGAGGAAACTGCCTCTCTGCATTTCTTGACGTTGGTAAGCTTTTTCCCAAGAAATGGCAAAAATGATCATAAGCAAATTATTTCAGATTCACATTCTACAAGCTTGGAAGTATGCCAAAATATCTTAACCATGGGGAATGAGGATCAAGGGAGAGTAGGAAGAATAACAATTCGAGGAAATGATCTCTATCATGAAGTTGCTTGTACTTTTGCCAAAGTGTGGCACTAGGTATCAACCAGTCTCAAAACATTTTATTTATACTTAATATAGGTATATATTTGAAATATTTATATATTTCATTTAATGTGTTTCATTCCTTCTTTTGTAAATTAAAAGTGACAGTTGGAATCCCTTCATATGAGTTTGACATCATCCCTTTGATTAGTAAGTACTGCGGAACACAGGGTATTTTTTTTCCTCCAGTCAGTTTTAGTTTCTTTTACACATACGTTTTTCTTCAAGTAACCCATATTTCCTATATAGAAAACTAGAGAGGCCATGAATCTTTGCCCTTGACCTGCCATAAATATCTGAGAAATGTAATGCTTTCAGATACATTAGCTTAAATCTGAACGTATACTTTGTTGCACATACAGTTCATTAGAAGCAATATTTTCAGGGCCAACCTTATTTTGTGCATGTGTTAATTCACATACCTATTTATAGTGGTTAATAAAATATTAGAATAATAAAATATTAGAATATTAGAATTTTTATTAGAGAATTAAAAATTGCTTTCTTTCTCCTTAAAGCAAGTTTGGATTTCATATTCAATAAGAGCTTTTATAAACCATATATCCCTTAAAGCACATCTATATCCTCTGTGTCTCCATAGATTTTGAATATATTTAATTTGTATTAACCACAAATTTATTTTTCTTTCAAGAGATAAATTCCCTTCATGTTCCTAGTTATAACATTTTTTGTTAACTCAAAATCAACATTTTACCAAAAAACTTTATTTTCTTTCTAATGTGGGCATCTGTGCATCCCAGAACCTCTCTCTCTGCATGTTCCATGTGGGCTGAAGAATATCTTATAAAGGTTTATGGGTGTTTCTGGCTGAAATAAAGAGAATGTTCAAAAGAGTCTTTCAGCTGTGGAAAATGAACTTCTATCATAAATGTACACCCTCATGCCCCCAGTACCTGACAGCCCAGTGCTTTGGCAGCTGGACAGATCACAAAGCTGATTCTGAGGCTTGCAATAACTTTACTCTCAGATAAAAGTTAACAGGAATTAACTACAGCTTAGTTCAGTACACATGAGAGAGCTGAGCTCTCTGAAAAGGTGAAAATGTCAATAATTCAGATACAGTTTGCAAGAGAGCCCAGGGGTGCCTGATTTCTTATTGCTGATGAAAAGTGCATGACCAAACCCTAAGCACACAGGCAGGTATCTCACATCTGCATGCATAAACATGCTCCTTGGAAGTGGTAGGCAAGTCTCTTCTTGACACAAAGAAGGTGTCTTTATCCATTTTAAGGAGAAGTAAAACTTAGCCCAGGAAGGTATTTCAGGATATATTGGAATCAATTATTTGAGCACAACATTTTGAGGTGTCACATCCTTGGGAGCACAATTCTGATTGGTGCTCTGCTGATGGCCCCGGAGTTCTTGGGCTGTATTTGCTGATTAAGTCATGTGAGTAAGAAGAGGCTGTGTGGGGGAATATTGGGCTCCAGTAGAGGCAGGGATTGAAGGTCCAGGTTTGCTCTTGATCATTGAAAGTGGTTATCTGGGAGCCTCCTGCCTGCACTGGCTCTTACTTCCCCACCTGGATAGGGAGGTCAGAGTAGTATAGGGTCCACTTAGTCTTAGACCCAGACTGTGGAACAAACAGGTCCAGAAAGTTTGTGCTGCTCTTTGTTTCCCCAGTGTACTCACTTAAGAGCAAAAGACCCCTATACACCTCTCTGGATTTGGTTAAATAATATTTTCACTTTTGTTGGAAAAGTGGCCCCCTCACCGTGGGCAATTACTTCGCATGTCTTTTAGTTTCACAATTTAATGCAAAAGAGTAAGTTTGTGTATCCCTCCTCCCCACTAGACTATCCTGAGCCCCTTTCCAGTCAACCTCCAACCCCTTTCTATCCTCCCACTCCCACCGCCCCCTCCCCGTCAGTCTCTGAAGTGTCACGGTGTTTTTTTTTTTATGCTTCCAACAGTTTCCAAAACAAACAGTGGAGGCTATGACCAGCCGGGTATTCACTCAGTCCGATGCAACAGTATCTCCCAATCCGAGCGACCTAAGCCGCCATTAGGGGCAGGTCCGCTCCCTAAAAGGTCCAAGCTTGCCAGTCTCTGAGCTCTGCCAGGTCCGGGAATCTGGGACTTGAGGACTGATGTTCCACACATGTCCACTGGGCGGGAGAAGAGCGAAAAGGGAAAGGGGACTAGACTCCAGAGGACTCTGGCTCCAGTTTAATCTCCTTTCATTCTGTCTATTCAAAGAAAATCTATACATATATATATAAATTATACACACACACATTTTTCCCCCTGAATATAGATTCAGAAATTGTTTTCTGAGTTTTCAGGTTTTTCTGATTTTCCCGCTTTCCCTCCTTTGCCTGTCCTCTGCGCCCTCCCACCCTCTCCCTCCCTAACCCAGCTCAGGTTGAAACTTTGCAGAGTACGTTCTCTTCACCCTCTCCAGGGATGGCTCTGAGCTCTCGGGCGCACGCCTTCTCGGTGGAAGCCTTGATGGGCAGACCCAGCAAAAGAAAACTGCGAGACACAAGAGAGGAGGCGCAACTTGAGCTGCTTGAGAAAGAGAGTGGAGAGGCGGAGGAGGAGAGATGGAGCAGCGCCGCAGGAAGGAAGAGCGAGCAGACTGGTGAGTACCCCTACCGCGGCCCAAACCCCAGCGCCGACTACCATGGCTTGCTAGATCGGAAGGTCTCAGACTAGCGCCGCGTCGCTGCAGGAGGGCGGCTAGCCCTATCAAAGGGTGTCTTGGCCCAGCGATGGCCGCGTACGGGGCGGCGGGGATACCTCAGCCATCTGGCTGTAGGGGGAAGTTTCAGAGCCTCCACGTTAAGCCCATAGTGTTGTGATTCATTTGCCGTGAAGGGGAGGGTCCCCACAGATTTATGAAGCGAGACTCTCCAACCTTCCGGAAGCCCTGAGAGCCAGAGGGTGAATGTTTCTCGGGGTAGAAAACAGGGCATGGACCCTGATCCCGAGGGGATTCAGCATCAGGGACCAAAAGTCTCCGAGAGAGATGAGGATGGGCAAATTTGAAGAAGGGTCATGCATTTCACAGGGCGCTTCTCTCCATCAGGGGGCCAGAGTGGGTGTTGTGGGGAATTTGGAGATCCGACGCCAAGGTTCCCGGGGAAGAGACAAGGCCGGTCTGTTCTGAGACCGGCGTCAGCGAGAAGGGGGCGCGGGAACTGCGAAGCTCTCTCAAACTCTCAGCGTCTCTGTGTCCAGCAGAAAAGCGACCCAAGACAGAGCCCTTAGCAACTACTTTCTCAGGCTGTGGAAGCGGCAGCGGCGGCTGCAACAGCTTCGGAAGTCTGGAAGAAAGAGATTCTATCCAAGTGGAGCTTCAAGGATCCGAGCTGTGGAAGAGATTTCATGACATTGGAACTGAGATGATCATTACCAAGGCGGGCAGGTTTGGCTTTGCCCAAGCTGTTCAAGGGCCGCACACAGTAGGCACTTAATGTTCTGCTCTCATAATATGGGTGCCTCCAGTTTTATGCTTTGGTACCCTTCTCCCCATAATCCCACTGCAGACAGGTATTGGAAGCCAGTGCCTCTCTATCGACCAGACTAGGCCTTGCTTGGCCCATGTTAGTGGCTCGGCCTTTCTTTCCTGTACACCCTGATTCCAAGAACTCATTCTTGCAGCTCCTGCCTGTGTAGTATATGACAAAAATTAGATCTCCCAAGGCAGGTGCCAGATGCCACCCCCACATCTTAAGCTATGGCCAGGCCTTTCTGTTAAAGCCTCACAGTTATCAGTGGACAATATCCCATCTAGCAGGCTCCCAGCCCACTGTCCTGAGCCCAGGTCAATTTGAGGTGGGGCTTTCCCTCCTCCACCTTTTCCTGTGTGGCATTTTCTTCACATCAGCTTGGTAATTTTTGTGTGTGTGAATCTTCCTAATTTCAGTCTTTCCCAAATCTGCCTCACAGAAAGTACCGCTGAAAACTCAGGGGACAGGCACAGCTGTTTCTTTCCTCCTTTTTCTTCTATAGCTTTTTATTATGGTGGTGATAGGAAGTGGGGTGGACAAAGCCTTGTGGTAAGGATATTCTGATCCACTCAAAAATCCTGAGTTTGTTCAATCAAACATGTAACCAACAATCTTTCCTCATGTAGCAAATCTCATTCACTTAACCTGTCTAGAATAAGAAGAGTATAGTTTATTCCTTTACTTTTCATTTGTCCCCAACGCCCCCTGGCTCCAAATGTTTCTAATAGCGCCCAGGTCAGTCTCTATTTTCTCTCCCACAGGAGGATGTTCCCCTCTGTTCGGGTCAAGATAAAAGGACTGGACCCAGGGAAACAGTACTATGTGGCCATCGATGTGGTGCCGGTGGATTCCAAACGCTATAGGTAACCAGGCCCAAAGGAGGGTACCACAGGCTGGGAATGGGGATTCATATCTATGGAACCTGAGAGTGCTGTTTTGAAAACTCTATCATGGTAGGGGTAATTGCTCTCCTGTGGGCTTTGAGAGTTGAATTTTCTCCCTCAAACTGGAGTTCAGGGAGTTCAGACTGAGAGAAAAGCAGGCTTGTTCTTCTTTCCTCTCACTCCTGGATCACAGGTTCCAGCTGGTGCTTCAGTGCACCCCAAACCTCTTGCCTACCCACTGCTCTAGCCTTGGCTCTGCAAACTGCAGAGGGTTTTGGCTCAGGCATCTGGGAGGGAAGCTGTTTAAAGGAATTTGGGGAGAAATACCTGGGCTTCTGTGGCCCTACCGGGCTCTGGGATATGCTAATTTAGCAGCAGGGTCCTTGAACGATGCCCTGATTTGCCATCCAAAGCTAGTCTAGCAGTTATCTCGCCTAAGTCTATTTTTCTTCCTTCCTTAGCTTCTCCCCTGAAGTGGAGGCCAGGTCCCGGAGAATACAAGTAACCTTTCTCTTGATGTAAGCTCTCTACTTAAAGCAGGCTAAAAGTGGCCGAACTGATCTAAAGCCAAGAGGCCCTTCTTTGCTGGCAGCCCAGAAGCTCGGGTCGGCCAGCGCTTTAGCTCAGGGGTATGGGGGTTGGGCGGCATCCACCCGCACTCAGCCTGTGAGCGTTAGACTGAAGTGGGTGTCTAGCCTTTCTAGGTAACAGCCAGCAACGCACCCAATGCTGGGAGTGAGGGGCAAAAAGAAGGCTGGGCTCAAGAGCCTGCTGGGGCCGTAGCCCAGAAATAACAGAACAAGCTGCTTATCACGTTTCAGCTGGCTTGGGAATTCGGCGCATAATTTAGCGGTTGAGATTGAAGACAATGAGAAAATCAGCCCCGAAGCCGCAGCGGGCAGAGTTCCTTGAGGGTATTCTCATGTAAAGCATTGTGGACAAAGGGGCTTCCAAGACTACTGGTCTGGTGGTGGTGGCTACACAGACACTTTCCCTCACCCTTCTGCTTCTTCCCTGACGCTTGTAGGACAGGAGGATTTTTCAGGTGTCTCTGCTCGGTAAAACGGGTTAGATGAATTTTTGTTGCGGTTTCTGTGAGGAAATGCAAACCAGACTCTGAAATCCCATGACATTATACTTGCCCTGGCACTTCACTACATTTTAATGATGTATGCTTATTTACAGTTTGCTTTCTATCCCTGGACGATCTTTAGAAATGAAGTTGTATCGTTTACTAGTTGCCTTTGAGATTAGCAGGCAAACCTTGGCCGAAGCCTTTAGGACGGGATCGCGGTAGTCCCTGCTCCTGGCTTTGGCCCGCTGTGCCTAAAGCCACACTCCGCGCATTTTCAGGTACGTGTATCACAGCTCGCAGTGGATGGTAGCCGGGAATACAGACCACTCATGCATCACTCCCAGGTTCTATGTTCACCCGGACTCACCTTGCTCGGGAGAGACATGGATGCGTCAGATCATCAGCTTCGATCGCGTGAAACTCACCAACAATGAGATGGACGACAAAGGCCATGTAAGTGTGTGTGATCCTTTGTCCCGAGGAGAGGAGGGGGATGCCAAGGTGTCAGCCGGAGGGTCACCCTGGAGAAGCCAAGGAGGTGTCTCCCAGATGTGCTAGTTGTAGTCTTTAGGAACTGTCCAAGTTCTAGGCCTGTGGCCAAAGTAGCTCTTGTGACTTTTATTTGGCATCTGAGAGTGCTGGGCGTTGGGGATGGTGAGTGAAAGAAGTTTGAGGACCAAAGGAAACTTGTTTAAGCCAGGATGCCTGGTCTGGGACAGTGAAAGGGAATGCTTCCCTGAGCTCTCTGGCACTTCAGCCTCCCTGGCAATCACTGTGGGCTCTGATTGCCTTCCCATGATGGGCACCTTCTGTGTGACATGGTATGGTGGAAATCTTCTCCACAACCTGCCCGGATGGAAGGCCTTTTCAAGTCACCGAGATCTTGAACCTTCTTCCCAGGTGCACCTCGCCTCTTCCCTGCTTGGCCTGGCTCTGTGCCAGCCACAAAAGGAAGAAGGATGCTCCTGGGCTTAGGATGTGGGGGATGTCAAATGGTTTCCCGTCAGTTACCTAAGCCCAGAGAACTTATGGCAGGCAGTTAGATCCCAATAACACTTGGGAACATCACATGGTCACCCACATTTGGAAGCAGGAAAGGACCCCAACTGGAAATGGAATCACTGCTTTCTGGTGCACTGTGGTGCCCCGTTCGTGAAACCCCTTATGCCTGAAGGCCTCTGTCCAGGGCCAAATGGCAAAGAAAAGTCCTTGTGTGTGGCTAGCCTAGGCTTTCTGGTTTAGCTTCACTTTTGTGTGGGAAGGTTGGGGGTGCTGATGAGAGGGGGACAGTGTGGGGGAGGGGAAGCCAATTACTAGGCAGCATTTGACCATTGATTTCTCCTCCAGATCATTCTGCAGTCCATGCACAAGTACAAGCCCCGTGTGCATGTGATGAAGCAGGAAAGCAGGGTTGACATGTCCCGGATTCAGTCCCTGCCTGCTGAAGGGGTTAAAACATTCTCCTTTAAAGAAACTGAGTTTACCACGGTGACAGCTTACCAAAACCAGCAGGTAAAGCCAACTAAGTCCCAGGCAAGCAGGGATGGCTCCAGAGAAACTTTAGGGAA